CCTCGGGGGCTGTGACAATGGACTATGACTTTAAAGTGAAGCTCAGCAGCGAGCGGGAGCGGGTCGAGGACCTGTTTGAATACGAGGGCTGCAAAGTTGGCCGAGGCACTTACGGTCACGTCTACAAAGCCAAGAGGAAGGATGGGTGAGTGCGCGTCCGCGGGGCGGGCCCGGGGTGCCGGCCGGCCAGGTCCGGGAGGAAGTGGGAGCCGAACCCCGAGGAGATCCCGCGTGCTGCGTCTGCGTGCCTCAGTGCTGGCGAGAGGCGCGAGGCGCTCCCCCGCGGGCTGTGGACTTGCCGAGGTTTCCGTGCTGGACTTTTAAAAATCCATTCCAAAAAGACACGCCAGTTTGCATGATCCCCCCGCCCCCGCGCCGCGGTCTCTTTATTAGGGTGACCTTTGGGGAATTTTCTCACCTGCCTCTGGAGTGACATCCGTCGGGTTGGAGGGGAAGCTGGTGTCCTTTCCGCCCACAGTGTGCGATCGATTTACGATCAGATTTGGGTTTTATTTGGTGGAATAAAGGCAGCAGGTGAACGGTGGTCCCGGACAGGACCCCGTAGTGGTCATCTGCAACGTACACGTAGCGGCGGCTATTTAGATAGCATTAGCTGTGAGTTTTTACGTAGAACAATGGGTGTTTGGTGCAAGGTAGCTGGTGGGGACGAGGCAAGTGACAGGGGCGATCCTTTTCAGGCCGTCCCCTCCAGATCTAGCAGCTGGCAATTTCTTCGCTTTCAATATTCTCCCCTAGCAATAATTAATCCTATGATTAGTAATGCTCCCATTTTAGTTTCTTAACAGGCAAGTGAAGTGTTCATTTTTTTCCTTTGTCAGTAGATGACTGTTTTGTAATACTGACAAAATGGAACGTAATTCTTAGTTGGGGAGAAAAATGTATTTTATTAACTCCTTGTTTTCTTCTCGTAAAGGTGGATTTTAGCTCTGCTGCCTTCTAGAAAAGTATTCGAAAGATGGTACAGTTTTATTATATAAGCTTTGGATTTTTATTAGAAACCAAGTGGCTTGCCTGGAGCATCACTGTTGGTTTGGTTAGCGAGTGTTTGATGTTTAAAATGATTACGTTAAAAAAACTGGCGACATCAAAAAAATGAAACCATTCATAAAGCTGAAGTAGTTCGGGGGGTGGGGGCGGGCAGGCCACATTTATACATAGTTAAGTGTTCTGGATGTTGGAAAAGGAAGTGTGTATTTATTTAGTGAATATTTTTCATAGATTCGCTGAAATATTTTTAAAAAATAATTTAAAATGGATTCTAAGAGAAAGTAGCTCTAATTAATCTGGATGTATTTCAGTGCTTTTATGCAACAATAAAACAGTGCAGATAGGGGCAAAAAGGTAGGGATTTGAAAACTTGATACTGTGGGTTCTACTTGTATTTAAAAGTACTTTTTAGCAGAATGGATAGTCTGCTGATATTTGAGAAATCAGCGTCTGGAGATACTGACTCTGTTGTCTAGTTAGATTTCTCACTTAAGTTTTACCTTCTAATGATTGTACTTAAAACTTGTCCGTGTTCACTTACTACATACAGTAAAATCTTTCAAAAGATTACACCATGTCCCCATGTAACTTGGAGAATATTAATAAAATTCCTAGTCCTGTGAGATTAGACATAGTAGTACATTTGACCAATCTGTCATATGTTTTATAAAATTCTAGTGACTCTAAATTATAGTTAATTCCTGTGAAAGAAGCCAGTTCTGTTTTTATAAATTACCAATTTAGGCTAATTAAATATGCAAATTGTTTTAAATTTGATTTTATTCTATATTTGGAATGTACAGTATTGTGTATTGGCAGGAGGTATTTTTAAACACATTTTATATTTTAGTAGTCAGGTTTTAACTTAGAAGAAAGAACAATTTGAAAAGAATTATACAATTTAAAAATAGCTGATGGATAGTGAATATTTGTTAGTCACTTAGGATGGCCGCAAATTTAACATTGCATTTTGAAAAAAAAGAGCTTTTTATTTGTGATCTTTTGGGTATTTTTTCCAGCAGCCTTTAATGATTCTGTTTATATGAAGAACTTTTTTTGTGTGTAATGGATCAAATATCAGGAGAATTTTGTTTTTGTTTCATTTTACTTATTTATCTTTTTGGAACTGGGAATTGAACTCAGGACCTCACCCTTGCCCGGCAGGTGCTGTGCTGCTGAGCTGCACCCCTGGGCCCCAGCAGAATTTTAAAATTACTTAAAGCAGTTGTTGTTTTCCAGAGGGAATATTTCTTTTGGTTTGGTTTTTTTAATATCATCTGGTAAAATACTGCATTATATTTATGAGGTTCTTTTGATCTTGTGTCAGTAAAATGTAATTTAATGCATTTTAGTCCCGACAAAATAAAATTTGTGGCTGTTTAATCTTTTATAATAAGATGATCAAATAATTCACTTCTAGTATTGATTTACTTTCAAATTAAATTATATATTCTGCAGATGAAATTTCATAGTACTCTAGGACCTATCACGGTAACAACTTCAGAAAGAATCCTGAGATTTACAATAAAGTTAAATAATGTAAATAAGCTTTAGACATATTTGACTATTAAAATGAACATATGTAAATGTTGTATCCTTTCAGAAGTCCAGTGAGCACAGAACATGAATGATTAGTAAAAGAATTTAGAGTGGAGAAATTAGCTTCTTAAATTATTAAGTTTTAGGAAATAAAGTAGCTTGATAGATTATTTCTTTGACTTAATGAATTAGTAATCCTACCCTGCTAGTATACCACACTAAGGATAAAATCAGCAGCTTAAGGAACATAAAGAAGGAAGAAATTATTTGAGGGATGATTACATACAAGAGAAAAGGGCCTTTTATAGTTGTGTTAATTTTAGATTTTAATAGGGTTAAAATAAATGTGTAATACATCTCAGAATTAATTTGTTCTCATTGTCACCATAAATGAGGTAGTGTCCTTTGTGCCTGAATGCCAAAAGAGTACTCAGCAGACCTTCGGACGGGTGTGGGGGGGTGTTCATTATTTCAGTCAGTCATAAAATTTAGGCAGTCAGACTTCGAAAGAATGGAAACTTTTAAGAAGACATAATTTGTTTGTAGATCTCAGACTGTCAATACAGGCACCGGACGTTTGTAGAATTTAAAAAATAAACTAGGAATAGAATTTTATCTTCAAAACAGGAAAACAAAAGATTCTGTATCTGTTGTAACTTATGTTCAAAAGACTAAATGTTATATAATTAGAACTCTCTGTGTGTGTGTGTGTGTGTGTGTGTGTGTGTGTGTGTGAATACCAAACTGCAATGAGAGGCATGTTAGCATGGTGAAAATGCTGTTTAGTTGGAAGAGCTTTAAATTAGGAATCCTGGAGACCTGAATTTGAGTTCATACTGTGCTTCTCAGCAGCAGTATGACCTTAGGCACATCGTTTGCCTTTTACAGAACTAAGAATAGGGGGTTTCAGTAGATAATTTTTAGGATCTTTTCTAGTATTATGATTTAGGGTAGGAAAAATTACAAACATGAAATATAATTTTGCAAGATTAGGCAGACAAACATTAAAACAAAAATGTTACCCTAGATAATGGTACACTTGTACGTTTTTTACTCTTACGCGTTCATACTGGTTCTCATCAGTTGCTGAAAAGAAGGTGGGTAATTTCCAAACACCCATCAGCCTCTTCACATACCTTATGCTCCCTTGACTTCGGGCTGGTACCTGCTCTCATTCCCGTGAAGCGTTTGTTTGGTGCCCAGCACAAGGGACTCTTCTGATTCAGCTTGCATTGGAGCTTTGTTTTAATTCTTTAAATATGATCAGAATGGTTTAGAATTCTTTATTTTCTGCAGAGGAATCAAATAAAAACAAGTCAGCATCCTATCATCCTTTTCCCCTCAATTCTGCATTTTTGTGTAAATATTTGTTAGGTGTCATAAATGCCAAAGACAGTGTTATACTTTCAGTTACTTGAGAATTTGTGTGTGCGATAAGGAGTTACCCTTATAACCTTCTATCTAGTATGTGACAGGGAGGGACAAACAATATTGTGTACTTTCCCCCGCAAGTACCAGCGATTGAACTCAGGGCTTTTTCACTATACTACATACATCTCCCCCAACATTTTTTTTTTTTTTTTGAGACAGAGTCACACTAAGTTGCAAAATTTCCCAGGCTGGGCTTGAATTTGCAATCTTCCTACCTTGGCCTCGCAGAGTGCTGAGATTACAGGTGTGTGCCACCATGCCTCGTATTATTGTGTTTCTTACTTGCTTGCATTTAGCTTTTCTTCTTTAACTATTCAGACCGTTCAGACCCACTGCTTAGACTACTTTGAGTTCAGCTTAGATCTCTTCTTTTTTAGTAGCAAGACTAGCAAATGAATTCATTTGGGATTTGTCTATGACTTACTTCTATTGTATCTTCTAACATTTGAAGAAATCCATTCATTAATCCATTCAACAGCTATTTATTGGATTCTTCTAGTGTCCAGTATTGTTCAAAGTATTGGGAAGGTAAGGATGAATAGAACATGCCATTATTTGAGGAAGTATCTACTAGGGAAACTTGTAAGTGAAACTGCAGCAATTGAATAAGCACTGTAATTAATATGTCATTGCAACGAAAAAAGGAAGCCTC